AAAAATGTGTGACATATCCCTTCAAATTACCTCCAAAAATAAATTATAGATGAAATGTTGAGACGTTAAATTTTCTTTTGATGTAGGTTTTATTAATATTGGTCATTCTGAATGAAGTAATTTAAAAAAAAAGAAACTACTAGCCCTAATATTTAGTTTTGTCCACTGGGAAATTTAATGATTTGTTCCATCTCAATGATAATTACAAAAGGGAGTTAAAATCAAAACTTAGGGATAGCAGTTCCAATTATTTTTTAATTACCTCATCCAGAACCAATTAATACAACATACATCGAAAGAAAATTTAAAATTTCAACATTTCATTTATAATTATATTTTGGAGAAAATTTGAGGGAGTACATCACAAATACTTTTTCAAAATCTGATGTTGTCATTTCTCCCCCTGTAAAAACCTGAGGTACAGATTGAAAAGAGTTAAGGGTTGCTACCTGTTGCTCAGCTACATTGATACACCAAAACTAGCCTCAACAGGCTGGCTTCTGTAAGCTTTTTAAGAGTGGAAATTCTTACATCATCCAGAACCTGAAGCTCCATCTTTAGAGGCAAAATTAGCTATGTATATTTTGTCCAAAATAATAAAAATAGCTTCAATAGTTGCATGTAGTTGTAGCTCAGATAAGGACTGCTGTAGTTTGAGTCTGTCCTGCATATCACCATGGTTACACTGGCTGACATACCTGCACAAGAATCCTTGCCTGCACAGAGTTGGGTATCATCATCTTTGTAAATCACTGGCTTCACCATGTTTTTCATTCCTGTGCCAAACATAATCTTGCATAAGCATCAGAATGAAGTGTTTGTGAGATTAATTTTACTGCCCAGCTCATTCAATTTCCTTTCTTGTGTTTTGGAAGATGATCACTGGTAGAAAACATAGGCTATATTTCTCCCAACAAATAGCAAAGACGAGCAACCAAACACATGGTGATATGACAAATTTGATGAGAAGAAACACTGATGAGATGGCAATCTTCCATGATAAGTCTGAATACATTAGCCTAAAGAGTTGATGAACCCAACCAGTTAGTGCGAGAGGGCATAGATCATGGGGAAACAGAAGGGTTCCAAGGAATAAAAGGTTGGGAATGTCAACCCAAAAAAGGAAGAAATGGCACAATATCATGGGGAACGAACCTGACAAAGAAGCCGACTGGGATTGGAATGGGAGTACAGGTGGGAGATGAAAGGTAAAGAAATGGGTGTGAAAGCCAAATGGCCTTACCAGGCAACAAAAGTCTTAGGAAGGAAGAATCAGATGACATAAGAGGAATGGTAAAGGATTCTGGTAATATTAATAGCATAAATATCTGATTGACGATATCCGCAAGCTAGGAAGAAAAGGAGATATTTAATATACCACATTAACTAGCTATAAAAAAAACAAAAAAGTAGGTGCAGAGTGTGACAGACCAAAACAAGAAGGTGCCAGAAAAAGTAAATCCAATTTTTATTTCTCCTTCATTGTATTTTCTCAGAAGCATTGTCTGGTTAGGAAAAAAAAAAAAAAAGAGTAGAAATTGCCAGCTGAACATAGGAATTTAGCTCTTTGCAAAATAAGGTTTGTACCTCCACAGCAATTAAAGTCAAACCTGATGCCTGAGTAGTTGTGCCATAAGTATTGCCTTCCATAATGGGAAAGTCCATGTCAATACACTGAATTGCAAAGTCCTTCTAAGTTACCGTATAATTTGCTAACAATAAACAAATGAAAACAAAAACTGAAACAGTTGAATGCAAACAGTAAAAGAAAATTGTTGAAAAAGGTATTGAAATGTCAATGAAGTACAACCATAAAGAGTAGTCACATGTGAAAAAATAAAACACACCTAAAGAATGCTGAGAGGGAACATCAGAGGGAACTAGCTGTGCCAACATAGGTGGTACAATACTATTGGTGGAGGGTGGTCACATGCTATATATATGTTCAAAAATGGCACAAAATTTGTGGGATATATACAGACTGGTGCAATGGTCATTAAAATTTCTAGCAATGCTTAGGGGGCAGAAAAAAGATCGAGATAGCTTTGTGTGAGGTAAGACTATCAGAATATATACTATAGTATTCACAGAAGAGTAAAATATAGTAATATCGGCACACAACAGCATCGTTTAATTTCTTCCATCTACATGTACATGGACAAATACTTCCTTCTGGTTGAGAAAACTAGAAAATATTATGTATATATTTAAACTTTTCACTTACAAATTATTTGTTGTCTGGCACTTCGGACTTTGTAAACATCAATGTCTCCTCGTGGGTAGTCATCTTTGTCTATTAAAGATTCTTCCATTCCAACATTATTTTGCTAGAAAATCATAAGTAATATGTATTACTAAAATAAACACCTTTGTCCTGGAACATTTTTTCTGTATTCAGAATATTAATTCAATATCTGTATTATAACTAAAAGTAAACTGAAGCTTAAATAACAATAATCATGATACTATTGGGGCCACCATATTGAATAATTACTTACCATCTCTGAATAATGTCCAACAGATGTCGCTATATGCTAAGATGTATTTTAAGCCCATTATGTGGAAATAAGTGGAAGTAAGGAAATAACATCATTGGAAAGAGTACATAAGGATAATGAATATGATTTCAACAATGAAAGAACACTGTATAGATATCAGGCTTAACTCTAATCTGATGTAGGATTCATACATTTTTATTAAAAGATTCAAGGGCTTTTCAAAAATGTTTCAGTACCAATTGTTAGGTTTCAAGGATGTAAGACTAAAAGTATATCAATACTGTATCTCATACTAAGCTTAGGTGGGCCAATATAATGAAGAATACTGATAAGGATCCTAAAACAAAAATAGCTAGATACTGGATAATATGAGCTGTATAATGCAAAAATTAATACTTGTACAATACATCCTGAGTGTTTCTTCCTTACTTTTCAAGCTCTGTTTAGTACTAAAAAATGGCTGTAACAATACCTAATTATACATGAAAATCATTATTCATTTTTGTTATTGTTGTAAGTTGAACTCGTATAATACTCATTTACAAGTTGTAAAAGAAATGGACCGCTCATGGTGAAAAACAGATGAACACAATAATAAATATTGAGACACAACTTTTGTAACGAAAAAAAAAAATTACTTACCAAGTATCTGAATGTTTTGGCTTAAATTTTTATCATAGAAACGTTATGATAGATAATGGAAACTTGAGGATGACAAAGTAACTTAAAAAAATAATAAATAAACCACGTACTATATTTTATGGTTCTTTGCCAACTTTTTTTAGCTTAACAATTGATTCAACTCATTCAGTAGTACTTTAACATCCTCAATACAGTTAGAAATACTAAGAATGTAATGCAATCTTTACTTTATAAAAGTAAAACTGTTCTGACCTGTGTTTTCTTAATCTTATAAATATTTTTCTCTTCAACTACCTGCAGAATGCAGCATAAAGAACTTGGAAGTCTTCATCTTATCAATCTCCTGGATAATCTTTTAAACTTCAGTAAAACCACCTTTTACCCTTCTTTTCTCAGGAAAAATTAAGAAATCTTAACCCATTCCTGCACTATAACTCTTATATTCCTTCATTTTAGTCATTTCCAATAAGTCAGTATTCATTTTTAGATATGGAGATCAAAACAATACACAGTATACTCAATAGAGCTAGGCGATAAAATTGATTAACTATGTCAGCAATTAGTATCCTGTAAAAAAAGTCAATTAATTGATTATTACTGTTTTTAATTATTCCAACTATCCAACCAATCAAAATACTGCCATTATGTTATTCTTTTATTAAGCACAAAGCTGTTCTTTGGTCACCACAGGTATCAGAACCACATTTTTAAGTGATATAATTTTTTTAGCCATTTGGTGAGAATAACTGACTAATTGGTCATTAAAAAATTAGCAAATTCCACTAAATGCCCAGTTCTAATTGCAAGTGTATAGAGACTATTCTCTTGACTGATAATAAATATTTTATAAACACACCATAAACTTCTACTAGCTTTCCTATTACCACTACTTCAATGGCTTAAGTACCTCATCCACCACAATCCCAAGATACTTTCTTTCAGTCACGAGCTGAATGGGTTCCATTGTATATTAAACTAAATGTGATCCAATTATGATAACCTAAGTGCATTACCTTGCACTTACTAAATGGTTCTTTACAAAATTATTTTACACTTACCAACTGATTCAAGTCATTCAATAGTATCTCAAGATCATCAATACAGCAATTCAAAATTAGTGACAGTGATGTTAATTAATTATAAAAAAAAAAGGAAGTTTAAAGAATAAGCCTCCTGGGCCAGATAATATTTCCCCAAAAGTTTTGAAAGAGGTTAAGACAACAAAATCTAGCAAGCTTTTAGCAAACATTACAAGTCTTTTGTACACAAAAAAAATCTGATTTTTGAATTAAGTATTTTTACTAAAGATTTGTCCATGCATATATATGGAGTCACATTGTTGACTAGCCCAAGTACAAGGTGATTTTCATGCTAGGGTTAAAAATACTTTTATTCATCTTAGTTTTCAAATTTCATTTGCTTGATCTCTAAAACCCGCTAAATTAATATTAAATGTTTTTTAAATAAAACTTTATATCTTATCAGTTATTTTCTCTAGCCTAACTCTATACAGACTTGGCCTATTTGACCTACCTTGTAACCACCACATAAAAAAAAAATCTAAATTTAATTACTCTTTTCTTTCATTTCTAGAATGACTGCAGATTATAACAGAAAACTACAACTGTTTATCCTCTATAGCTTAAGGCTCATGACAGAACTACAGCTGTTTCTACTAAATTTTATTGTTTAATTGTCCTATGAACTGTATCTAACTAATAATATCATAAGTTGTAAATCATTCCACTAATTTGTTGCTCAAGTTACTGAATGATGTAATGCATGAACTACTAGGATCATACCTTCTAGAGAAATTTGTTTGTTATTTTTTCATAATATTAATTAATCTATCCTTTTGTTTCTAATTTTTACATTTTAGGTCATTTCATTACAATAACTAAAAAAATACAAAAAATAAGAACTTTCATATTTGTATGTGGCCTCTTGTTTTTTTTATGTCAGTCCACCAATGAACTTTATGCCTACTTTTTTTTTGTAAAGATAGAACTATTACATTAATTATTTCTTTCAAGTACATGCTTAAGAACATTCATAATGCAAACAACATCCTATATCTATCATAATTTAACTAGCTTTCTTTGGCACAAATCCCTTAAAATAATTTCCTTAGCTACTTGATCAGAACATGGCAATATGGTGTAGTGTGTTTGATAAAACTGCTTGTAGAACACAAAACAACTTTGTAACTAATTTAGGGTTTGACATTAACTTTTTATATCACTAGACCAGTTGGACCAGTTCTTTAAGAAATTACTAGCCCTGACCTTAAAATGGGTTGACTTGTGCAAATGGAAAACTAAAAAATAATCACATATTAGGACATGGTACAGTGGTAGCAAGCTCAAACACAAAGTCTGTTAATAAACAGAGAGCATCAAACAGCAAAAGAAAAACAAATACAAAGTATATAAAAGTAACAAATGATAACTATGGTATCATTTCAGGTCAAGAAAATTAAGAAAACTTGTAAAGATATTTGGTATCCACGATCATGCTCTACTTTGGCACGTCTGTGAATTACAGAACATTTTCAATCACATTTGGAAGAAAAATAAATTAAAAGTTAAAACACTGCCCACCATGCCACCATAATGTTACAGCTCATTCTGCATTATTGTCCATGGAACCTGGCCATTCAATGGAAACTTCCATGAGGTAGTTTTATGTATCTGCATTTAATTGTGCTCTCCAATCAGACTTGATCCTTGTCATTGCAGAAAATCCCCTCTCACAGATTGGACTTGAAACTGGTATATACAAAATGATCTCAGTTAGCATGATGATATTCTTAAAAAGTGCCTTTCAAGTTGGGGTTCAAGAAAATATGATAGAATTCTTCAACACTTGTGCCTCTTGGCTGTCTCTTCATATGGACTTTCAGAGCTAGCCTGTTTCTAATGTTTAATGTCATATCCCATCCTATTTAAAACAGTAGGTAGTATTCAAACAGGTTATTTACTTCTTTTTCTCTATATACTGCAATATAAGCATCAGTTTCTGGAAGGTTGACTAGATAGAGTATTTGCATGTCCTTCATTAGATGGTCAAAATTTGTGTCACCAATCATCTTATTCATATGGTCAATAACCAACCGAATGAAGGAATTTTTTGTCTTGAGCTGTTCCTCTGTTATAGTGGGACCACAAAGTTTCATACCTTGGATTGCATTATCTACCTCTACACTGTCTAGGTACATCTGCAGGTTCTCTCCTGGCCTTTGCTGCAGAGCAACAAGCTGCAGGCAAGATGTTTCAAGGGCATCCACAGCACCAAGTAAACCAGAGTTATCCTTTTGAAACTGTAATGAAAGTTTGCTCAAGACAGATAATACATCCTTTAGAAAGTACATATAGTCTTTTAGATGTTTAAAAATCAGCTTGGCTCAACTTTGAACATCCACTGTCCCACTCATACCCTCTACAGTGTTCTGAAAGTGAGAAATAAACACCAAATACTGCCATAATAGGCATAATGTGGCACCTTCCAAACTTACTGGCTTTATCATCTCCTCCTTCACAGCTTCAGTTAAAATTTGAAGCTCTCTCAATGCTTTTGCACTGCAATAATAGTGCTTGTGCAAATTCAACAAAACAGTTTTAAGATCACGAAAGATCTTTGCATCTTTATCCTTCATTGCATCTAATGCACCAAGTTCCAATTTGTGATTTACACAACACATGGCAACAAGATGAGGCACTTCATTTTTTAAGTTTTACCACACTGTGCTTTTTCCCTAAGTTCATATGGGCTCCATCTGAACTAGTAGCAATTAGTTTTTCATTCCAGTTCCAACCTGCATTGTCCACACTGTCCATTATGGACCCCAATGCTGACAAAACACCTTTAGCATAAGCATGCTCCATGCTATTTATCTTTACAAAGATATTTTTTAGTACACCTTCCACCACATCCCAAGCATACACAATCTCATGTTCACAAATGGACACATCTGTTGCACCATCAAACATTATTGATAAGACCTGTGCATTCTTCAGTAAACTGTGTGTTTCTTGTCGGATATCCTTATATATGAACTGCATAAATCTTCTACAAGCCTGATCAGTCCACTAGCTATTTGACAGCTCAACACCATTTTTAGCTTGTAAATTAAGAAGGCTTGGGTACAAAGTAAAAAGCAGTTCATTCTTAGTATTGAAGTAAGCAGT